GGGGGTAAAGAAGGCAAAGCTTCCTGAAAGACTCCAGAAGTTCATCAACACAACTAGTAGTTATCCTGCAGGTGGAGATTTGGCACCAATACACAAATGATACTTAAGTGCAAAAATGCCTTCAAGGAAGTAGGAAAAAAACCCCCCTACAATTACAAGCTTTACCAGGAATGTATCCCAGAGGGAACAAAACAAAAGTACTGTGCCCTCAGTAACTGGATTGTTGATAAAGGACCCGAGGGGAAAAAAATAAATCTAGTGACATTTAAGGCTTGCTTGCACATGCAAAAAAATTTGCTTTTTCTCTCTTGCTCCTATTCCTAGAAAAATGTTTCTCCTATGTTGTACAAGATATCTTCCTCCACACCCACCCACCCAGATTACAGGATCAGACTACTTTCCCCCTCCTGCCATTCCCAGCTCTGCCCCCTGCCCCCCACCCACCCAGATTGTCTTCCAAAAGCATCGCTGCTCTGCAATCACCGCGGAGCATTCACACATTGCTCCTGCACTCAGCCACCAGGGAACTTTCTTCCAAGCCCATTCTGGGATGACCCCCAGCTGCTGCAGCAGCAGCGCTCCTCCCTCTTGTGAATAACGTGCAGCCATCTACAAGCTGACAATTAACAGAATCACAGGAATTCTCCGCTACTGCTACTCCTTACTCAGTTATTCTAGATGCACCTGACATACACCACACACTTTGTCTCCAATAGTTATGAACCCCTTTAAGAGTTCACATCTTCCAACTTCTTACAGAATATGCCTGACATGTACATATAGGTGACATTAGAAACTAGGAAGGGTTTGGTTTTTAGAAATTAGATTTATTATTTTTATTATTATTACTATTCCAGAGAAAGCTTAGAATGGCCTTCCAGCTTTGTCTTACAATGGGGCAAAAGTTCTTGTTCTACAACCTTTATTTCGCAAGGAACTACAGTAATATTTTATAGCCATTTTAGAAATAGACTGAGGACTTTGACAAGATCACTCTTTCCAGTCACTGCATTGTCATCTTAAATTATATTGCGCTCCATTAAATTGTTCATTATTGGAAGATTCATATCAAACAGCTTAGTACCTGAAATTGTCTGGTATAAACTCCATTTTTATGGGCTTCAAGTCTGAAATTTATTTCTGAATGAGAATGGAAACAGTGATAAAACAATTCCTACAAGTTATACTACCATGACATAAATGCAGTACTAAAACTAAGCACAATGGCCTCACACAATCAGGTTTATTTTTTGAGCATGGATTTGAATTACTAGCTTTATCCTTATCTTAGCAGCTATGCAAATACAATTTTCCTCTCATATTATGATTGGTATCAATAGACAAAGTTAAAATCTAGTGTTAGTTAAGTCAGTTTTCACCAGAACTCATTTATAGCCACTTTGAAGATGATTGTGAGGGTGTTTTGCTGTGTTAGTCAAACACCTGTTAGTCCCCATCATCACAAAGGGCATAATGTGTCAAAACAGTTTATTTCTTATACTGTCCATTTTCTATGGGAAAACCATTGAACTATTTCATTCTGATCTATTATAAATGCAGAACCACAGTTCTGGTCTGAACTATTATAAATGCAGAACTAGAAAGCAGTTGCTGGCAATTTGGCAAGCCAATCTGGCTATAGCTAGGCTTTAAAATAAAGCAAAAAGTTTGTATATTAGAGAGAACAGGAGTAGAAAATTCTTATTTTACCAAAAATTATAGCACTGAACATTCTAATGCCTCTCCTGTCCACTATGCATGCAGCAATTTAACTAAGAGTGAAAGTATTCGTCACACTTTCCTACAAATACAAGAAAGATAACAAACCTTGAGCCAGCAGGGTGACAGAGTTCTTGCTATACTGGAGCTGTTTACAGGCAGTCTCCTGTATATTTAGTGCTTTAATTCACATGCAGAAGTTTACTGTCTTATTTAATATAAATGGACATTGTGGGCTAAATCACTGCTTTTCCCAATTCCACTAGAAATTTAAATTGTATGTTATTTATTCTAGTAAGCAGTCTTTATTTTCTTGCTAGTCCTTTTCTCTTTCCCTGTTTTTTTCTTTTTGCAGTTATGAACAGACCACATAACTCTCAAACTTTTAAGAGTTGAGCAAGATGCACCAAAACAACTTAGTTTTCACTGCTGTATAGCACAAGGGTTAATTTTCCATTAGAATTTCTGTTAATTGGTTGCATCATTTCTGCAGTTCAGAAAAAGCTGCCTTTGCCATTGAACAAAGTACCAAAACTAACCTTATGCTGACATATGCAGTTAGCCCAAGGTCAGTCAATAATAGGGCAATAGTGGAAAGTGACAACCAAGGGGAATTGCATGGTTTCTGATGCATTTGCCTCCTTTAAACTTAAAAAAACCTGTCTGTCCTTCTGTCGTGGTTTAGGAATGGTACTCCCCAGTTCAGTGCCCTCACTAAGACTCTCCTGAGCCAGATGCCACTTCCTCACTCTCCTCAATTCCCCTCTTCCTTCCCACGCCAGGGATGGAGTTGAAAATTGGAGGCACAAAAGGTTAAAATCACAGGTTGAGATAAGAACAGCTTACTGAAAACAGCAGTAAGATAAGAACAGTAGCAGCAACAATACTAATGACAAGTGTACCCAGAGTGGGTGATTAACACACAAAATGCTCACCAAGCCAGAGACAACTGAACAATGAGGGATGAACCCTAAGCCCACCACTGGAAAGGGACATGCTTCTCCTTGGAGGAGACAGAGTCCCTTCTCCCCAACCCTGGCCATGAGGTAAAATGGTATTGAATAACATTTGGGTCTTGGACTTGCCCACACAGCTCCAGGCTCTGCCCCCTCACAGCTACTGCAAAACATTAACCCTGTCCTTGGCTGAAACTTGGGACATCCTCACAATTTTTTTTAATGTACCTTGAATTACCCATCTGTTACATCCCACAAAGGACAAATACTGCTTTCAGGGATCCCTCCAAACCTTGTGTTCAAGTGTGAAGCAGTCAGTCATTAAATACTGATGATACAAGTTTCCTTATGGCAGAGATGTGACACCTGGCACTTCCAACTGCCACTTCAAAACTAAAATACTTACATGCTTCCTGAAGGTGCTCTGCAGATCACCACCTGCCCACGAAGACTCTTGCTACATATGTCTGAATGTGTGACCATTCTAATTTTAAAAAAACATGTTCTAGAACTTGATACAGTGCCTTGAAGATTTCTCTGAGAATTTGACACGTAGAGAAAAAATATAGGTAAGCATGACATTTACAAAGCACTTTTGAAAAATCAGAAATGTTAAGTGAATCAGCAGGGTAGTGTGTTTCACTGCACTTTAGCCAAGTGGATCTTTTGTTAAGTGCTTCCAATGGAATTCTGGCACTGAGCTGAATCTCCTAATCCGGTTGGGAAAACAGAAGAATTTTGTGCCAAAATTACTAGGTCAAGATATTGTGCAATTAGTTTAAGGACCCAACTTTTGCCCACCTTTTAACCATTTATTAAAAGAGTTCTCCTTAAATAAGCCTGTCCAGAGAAGTGTCTTCTGATGCTCACGCCTAAGTTAAAATCTAAGTTAAAGGGGTCATTTCAAGAGCTTCAAGTGTCTAGATAGGATTAGGCAACTAATCTCTTGGTGATCCACACAAAATTATTAGAGTATGTATATACACACACAGAGGAATAAGAAACTCATAAATTGAAAAAATGCTTACAGTAAGCACTTTGATGATTCTGTGAAAGAGTTCAGATTGTTCACCTTCCCACAACCATAATCTCTAATAGATTTTCAACAGGGTCCATCAGAAAGCAAATCAGAAGTAATGTGCAGGAATACCAAACGCCTATCACTGGGTAACACTAAGGACTTCCCTTCTCATTGTCTACAGTTTCTGTAATAGCCCTCTGCCCCCAAAAGCAGAGCACTGATTTAAATTTTCTAACAAAACTTAAGTTCATGCTGCAGAGAACAGCCTCCTCTTCTGTGGGTGTAGCAAGCATATCAAAAAAGTGTAAGTGACATTTATATCAATGCAGGTCTTAACTCTTATTCTAGCTATCAGAGAGAGTTTTGGCAATCAAGCTTCAATTTTCAAGTGTAGATATGCTTGGCTTATTTTTGGTTTTAATTTAAAAAGGCAACTAGAGACTTCTTCTCTAGTTCAAAGAATGAATAGAACGCTAGGTCAGGCAACAGTCATTTATTTATTGACTTAAACAAGCAAAAGGTATCCTCAGACATAATGGCTACCACTTGACCAATACAAATCAATGCTACTGAAGAACAGGGAACATCTTTTCTTTCACCCCTCCCATCCCAGAAGTAACAATAGAAACACCAGGACCCCTAGAGAAAAGAGAAGGAGAAAAATCATAAAAGGTACTTAGAATGAGCTGCAGAGTTGAAACACGGACACTAAAAAATCATTAGCTAATCCACCACATCACCACAATTACCTCAAAACCAGCTTTCATTGTTCCACTTCCACCAGGTACCAAATATATAGCACTGTTTAACAGTGATTTCAATGTATTAACAACTGTCCTCAGCTGAAGAACAGTAATTACTATTTATATTAAATTTGAGGCTACAGATAGAAAGAAAGGTTTCCATAGACTACAGTGCACATTAATGAAAAGAGAGTGGAGAGAAACAAAGGTACTTTTAAATTACTGTACGTCTCTATCAAGCAATTTGTTCTGTACTGATAGCTCATTGAAGACACAATATCCTGTCAGAGTATGGCAACTCTACTCACCCTGTGACAGTGTATCTGATGAATGTATCTATGAAGAATTTATCTGTAAGTCCCCTAAACTGTAGGCCACTGAAAATCCCAGTTTGCTGCTCCTGTGTGCGTGGTTTTTAATCAGACATCAGCAAAAAAAAAGCAAACACACAGCATGCAAAACAACTGCTACTGAATCATTTAGTCTACCTTGTAACAGTCAAAGATGTGAGTACAGCATTCCTCAGATTAAGAGAAAACATTAGGAGTCTTTAGTTTTTCGGGCAAGGAGACCTTTTATTTTAATCCATTAAAAGAACCCAAAATAGTCAGCAGGTGGCCACATCTATCCATGTTTCATTAAAATCACATAAAACCTAAGTACAAAAGCACCACTGATTATTGCTCTAGAAAAACTGCATGAAAAATTCCAATACACACAGTAAAAACATCACCATATGCACAAGACATTATTTCTTAAAGCAAGTGTATGGAATGCTGATCCAATTTTACACATACCTTGCAATATTAAGTTGATATTTATATGACTTGGCAACAATGGGAATTTCTAAAAGCACTGTTATGAGAAGGGAAATGTTCATATACAGTTTAATATGTCAACTATCATAGTCCTAAAAAAATTAGCATTTACAAAATACTTGATAAAAATATCTTTTAAAAGTTGTCCAAGAGGTACATAAAATCAACCCAAAATTTTCATGGTATTTCATTCATTCTTGTCACCTACAGATTCAGTTTTCTGAGCCTGTGGAGAAGAAAGAAAGAAACTAAATTACTATAGTGAAATGCTATTAGGTACCTAAATACCCAAGCTATCCTTACTCCTTGGATGTCTTACTTGCAACAGCTCCAAACCTGTGTCCATAGGATATCTATGCAGCCGGAACAGTTACAGTCACACACTTCTCTCAGCTCAAGGGTCCCGGCTTTTCAAAAGCAATACAAGCCTTACCTGTCAGCTTCCATCGTTCACACTGAAAAGCACCACACTACCACCTGTTCCTATTCACTGCACACATGCTGAATGCTCTACCGCACCCTTAACTTTCACTGTTTCAATCTGCCCTTTTACTGACAGTGTGCTGGGTGGGGCACCTCTGGATGTTGAAACACTAACAGTTGAGCGAGATGAGAATCTGCAATAACATTATGGGCAATAAAAAGAAACATTATGAACATGCTAACAATGTCTGAAAGGCTGAATAATTAAAAAACACTGATTCAATCAGCAGGAGGTATGTGTGGAAAGTACCTCTTCAGCTTTATTTTCACCATTTTCAGATGGTGTAGTACCTTCCTTTGCAGCTTCTTGCTTTTCATCCTTCTTCCCTTTAGCACCTTTGCTGGCCTTTGTTCCAGGTTCCTTCTGACAGAAGATTAAAAACATGGCCATAGACATTGTATGAGTAGCCAGAACCCTGCATCTTTATCAAAACAACTTTCACATGAACTAAACAGCAAGTCTTGGCAAGCTTCATGTGCTGGACTGAAACAGAAAACCATCTAAAGACTACCTGGAAACTGTAAACCCACCTAAGTTACATAGAGACTCAACATTTCTAGAAAACGGTGGTGTCTGCTTCTTTAGTTTTCTGATAATTTTTTCAGGGATACAAAATCCTGCCAGACTACTTTGGTAGAGCTGTCCTATGAGGTATATACAGGATATCTGTGTGAACAAACCCAATTACAGTATATTGAAAGCTTATTCAGACAAACACCGACACCACACTGTTTGTGTAACTACAGCGCTACACTTTCAATTAATATAAAATATTAAATTAGATTTTAAAAATTAAGCTTTTTTGTTGGCTGTCCTTTTGTTACTTTGATAACATCTGTGATGGTCATTCCATGTCAATGAAAGAACCATACAACACACTAGGGAGACAAACGGATAAAAGTCCTGCAGCAACACAAAGCAAAGAATTTATCAAAAGGAACTATTCTAACAGCCACAATTTCATTTTGAGATTTGTTCTTAATTTCTATGTTGAAGTCTACTATTTTTTATAACTCCTTTCTTTATGTACTTATTTATGTTTGTGATCTAAAGGTTAGCAGAGACATAGGTTAAGTATTTAAAGTGCAATGGGATAAAATTTAAATGATATTGAATTTACTATTTTACTTTAGTATTTAAAGTAGTTCTGATAAACACAGGATATCTTTCATACAATCATTTGCTCCAAATTCTCCATGCAGTTGGCAATAGTAGCTTTGAACACCTAATGCCTGCCTTTCTTCATTTACTACCCTTCCCCACTGATGCCCATGCAGGAGTGGGACAGTGAGGAGAGAGCACCAGTAATCCCAGTTCCAGGGCAGCCTGAATTACTCCTTCCATCCCTCAGCTTCAATGTTACACAGCAGCTTAATTTGGGAGCTTACAGTTGGTATGAGCATAGTTATAACTCTTCACCTATGAAAGAACAAACTAAGGAATTGACTTAGCAAATTCATAGCATGCGAGCTTTTAACAATAAAAATTATCTCAAATCTGCACCATCTTTCCTTGTTTAATAGCAAGTTCAGAGTACACACTTGGTGTTTTCTGTTGAAGAGACCACGATTAATATACTCCTTAAAATGTGATCTAGTTAGGGTTTGGAAAAAAAAATATTATTGTATTAAAAATTACTTACAGTAATATCATAAAGGATTTGAGTCACCCAAAATAAGCTTCAAATGCCTCTCACACAACATAGACTGGATCCACGACACCGAGCTCATCCCACAGGTATGTGAAGCTACAGAAGCCATCACATTCCCTTCTTTATTAACACTCTTTTTAAGAGGGGAGCAGGATGGACTCAGCAAGACTTTACTGGTAATTTTATATGATAAATCACACAATATTTAAAGTCAGAGTTTTATTTCACATGAGGACTTTGTATCCTGCCCAACTGAGATGACAATAAAAGGATTTGAAAAAAATGGAATTGTGAGGAGCGCTAGACTCAGTGTCCAGCATGGGAGCTTTTTTCCCCCAATAAAGCAATTGCTATTATTCAACATTCCCCTTAGGCACAAATAAATCTACAGTTTCTGCAGTACATGATTTATATGCAAAAATCCTGAAAAGGTATTTCAAACACTAATAAGATTTTAATTTGACTGTAACTGGCCCAGAAAAACTAAACCATTCAATTTAAATATATTTAATTTCACCTTTAATTATAATTGTGCATTCTCAGCAGCAGCCAGGCTTCAAGAACAGATAAGAGTTTCTCAGTACAAAATGAAGTACTGCACCTCTAGACAAGGAAACAGAATGATAGAGAGTAATCTCAAATGCTTTTGTAGAAATTGCTGGGTCTCAGGAAGAGTTTACTCAACCAAGCCTGTACTTTTCAGGAAAGGTGTAGTAAAGGTAAAAACTCTTCTTAAACTAGCAATTCACTACAAACTAACATGGTCTGCATATCAAACAGGCAAGACATTTTCTTTGGGCCAGTAATGAGGCCAGGAAGGGGTGGAACAGAAAGCAAAGAATGATCTAATTTGCGGTTTTTTTCCAGGGAGGGGGGGCAGGGAGCTGCAGAGAGGGCAGGAAAGCCCATGCCTCAAAAAAAAAAAAAAAGCTGTGAATTGAACTGTTTGCAACATAAAGAAGGAGTGTACTTGCTTACTATTGGCTAAAACGATGGTAACTAATCAGAAAAGAGTATTTACCTTTGTTGTTTTCCTTGGTTTGGGTTCAGGTTTTGGTGGAGCAGGTTTCTATAAAACATTTTTAGTTGCACAACATGTTAGACACACCACCAGAAGCCAGCCTCCTCCACACCCTGCTTCCCCCCCAACCCTACATCTTCCCTTACTTCCTGCTCAATAGTATGCATCTAGAAAAAGTCTGAAAAACCTTACTGCACAAATGCACTCGTCTCTGTACACACCTGTTTGCATTAGTTCACTCATCTAGAACTGAAAGTAATTTGGGGGTAATTTTCTGGGTAAAACACAGAGATTAGAAGTACCTGTTAAAAACCCCATCAGCTATATTCTAACAGAGAAGAGGAACTAAAACCAAGTACTAGCAGTGGCATCAAATGAAGTCCTTGAAACACAGCACCTTCTCCTTTCCAGAGAAGTAGCTGCATTTTCACAACTAACATCAGCCTGCAAAATTAAATAGTCAATACTGCACCTAAAAACTCGAGTTTTGCACTAGAGTGGGGAAATATATCTTTTGTCAGAAAAACCTGAAAACCTGAAACCAAAAAAACAAAGATAACTTCATTGCTAGAATTCTTAAATACCCCTCGATAAGAACAAAAATTGAATCAAGCAAAATGTAAAAAACTTGTTTGGTCTGAGAAACCATATGTGCTTAGAAAAGGATATACCAGGAGGTACTATACATACTTACAGCTGACAGTCTTGCTGATCGTCTTGTGGGCTACATGAAAAAAAAAAAAAAAAAAAAGAAGAACATTTTTACAGGCTTACAGGAAAAAGTATCCAAAGCAACATAGTATCAGCATTCCACAGGACAGCATAAAATATGCATCTATCAAAATATGTGTCTATTGCCGAACACAATTCACATCTCCCTCACCTTGGACACTCAAAATTTTAAAGGGACAGAGTGAAAGTTAGAAATAAATGTTGTACAGGAATTATACCACCTAAACTGATGCTTCCTTGGGACTGCCTAAAAACAGAAGTCAGACAAAATTAAGGGAGTAAAAAGCTGTTATATTTATCAAAGGCCTTCAGGTACATTTCGGGCAGACAAATCCCCTGCCAGGGGCTACACCCAAAATGGATGACAGGTCAGGGGTTTTCATACTTTTGTAGGTCTGGTCCATTTGCATATTGGGGATTAATCTTCCAATTACAGCTTCAGGTAATGAAGTCATTTACTCCAAGTTTGCTCCTTCCCAACACACTTTTGTTTACATTTCTCTGTGCCTGAGACAGTGAGGTGTCCTTGATTTCCAGGCCTGGAGAGGAATTGTTTTGTCTGACCAAAATGGGAAAGTAGCAGCTAACACCCTATACGGAGTTTAGGGCTATACACTAAAGAATTGCAGGATTACAAATATATGAAAAATATAAAAGCTAAAATTCTAAGGCATCAAAAGCTCCACAAAGTTAAATACCTCACACATACACACACCCCTGTGTGTATGTGTGAGGTATTTACACACACACAACTACTTCTGAGTCCCTTCCTGGTCTATGAAAGGTTCACAAATCCGACTACCTGTGCAAAGGACTGAACGGACTGAAGCTTTTTCATACAGACTTAGCATGATGTTTTTAGAATCTAGCAAATGTTACTTGTAATGGTGGGCACAAATCCCATCTGATTAACAGCTGAATAAAGTTAACATCCTTCTCTAGAGGACATCAGAGTGCTAAAATTTCAAAACATGAAACTAAGTCCTTCCACTTCCTCAGTTCTCCACACACTTGCTCAGAGAGTCCAGGTGCACAAAGACAGCTGCAGGATGAGAGAGAGAAATTATTTCTTCTATTTAAACACAAATCTCAAAAGGAAAGACTTGAGCCAGAGATTCTGCTTCTCTCCAGCTTTCTTTATCACTTCAACATACTTTCCCCTATGAGATTTTATTTCATCCTGCTTTTTGTCATAAATTTATTACTGAAGTCTTAAACTACTTGTTAGCTTGTTAGTTTGTTCACAATGTTTTTTATTAATTAAAACAGATTCACCCAGTTACAGAGCATGGTAAATAAACTGAGCTGAAGTCTGGTCTACTCATAGAACTAGAATTACACCTGTGGCCAAAATAAAGGGACAACCAAACTGCAACAAATATCCAACATAACTCAGCTCAAAAAGAGAATGAAAAATACTTCTAATTACATATTAAGCATTTAAGTTGAGCTAAAAAAAAAAACATGGCTCGGTACATCCTGCAACAGGAAAAAGCTCTTGTTAATATCTGAAGAATGCCGTAATTTGTGTTCATTGGAGCCATTCAAGAATTCTTCGTGGAAAGCAGCAGTGAATAGTTTAAGTCTGCATCCAGCAAAATAGAAATCAAAAAATACCTAAAGATATTTTCAGCTATGAAATATTTATAGCAAAAAGGTAAACCTCTCTTTTCTTGGCAATTTAGCATATCAACCACTTGAGAAGCAGCCTACCATTATTTTACAACAGTATAAAAAAAACATTTCAGCTGGTGAGGTAATCAAAGAACCTCTAACTCAGATTTTACAAATCTGCTTTCTTAAACAATTATTTCTACCTCTTTAACATTTAGGAACTGAAATGTTTTGCTAGCATCTACTTTTTAAAGGATAATATGTTGATTTAGATAAGTTATAATTCTCTCCCCTACCTCCTGTTCCATAACTTGTTTGCCATAAGAAAGTCAGCATAAACCGTGAGGCCTTCAAAAATGCTTGACAGCTAAATAATTTTAATTCTTATTTGGGGTTTGTATGTATTTTTATGTTATCTGATTTTAAGGAGGGAACTAGAGCCAAGTCAGCAAAGGTCACATTTTCATGTGCTTTGGGAACCTCTGTCCCCTCCAAACAGCTGTGCTAACCCAGAAATCAGCAGCTCACCCAAGAGTCTGTTTGACACTGGCCCGCTAGCAATCATCTATGGAAGGGGGTCTATGAAAAGGAGCAGACAGAAAAACTCTGGGCACTCTCCCACTGCACCAGTTTCTGGCAATCTGAAGTTGCCAACTTTCCAACCTGGATATCATATACACATAATGTGTTTAAATAGTCCCCAAGGGTTATTTTCTAGACAAATCTGTTTAATAACATAGTACTCATTTACGCTTTCAGTTTCCATAACATCCCATGCCAATGAGTTCCATAATGGGATTATGCACCATGTGGAAAACAAAAAGCAAAATCTTTACCCTCTGCTGTCCCTCCTTATAACTTCTTGCCTCTTACTTCCATTAGATTCCTCTTATTTACAGCTTTCATGAAGAGAATTCCCTAACTGCCTTTCTTTTTTTTACTAATTGTTTTGTCACAACTCCATTCTATAAAAGATGAAGAATCCTAGAAAAACTGTGTTGCTTGGTTTTTTAGTTTGGGTTGTTTTCCCTTTTTTAAAGCTGCTGTAGATCCTCTGTTTGTCCCACTGTACTTGGTATCCTTTTAATTCTATCATGGCCTCTGTCAGGAGAGCTTCATTTAGTACTCCCTTATCTGAGAGCAAAAAAATTAATCTTGTGATACACTGATGCTTACTCTGTCCTCTGGCATTTTTTCCTATGTTCTAGTTACTTTCTGTTTAGAACTACTGACATTTTCTAGTAACTATTCACTGTGATTTTACAACCTCTCCCCTGATTAACAGCTTCGTGACCACCACTGGGTCTTCCCCTCCCTGTGTATTAATTTGCATTTCTCCATATTGAATTTCTTTTGATATTTTATCACTTGGTTATTTGTCAATGACATAACAGGCCTTCTCAGCCTCTTTTACTTCTGACTACTCTGACAATTTTTGTAAACTTCAGCAAACTTTGTAAATTCTTTAGTACCTTTTCTCCTGCAGATCATTAACAAATACATTCAGCAGCAAAAGCCCGCCCCCAAAAAAATCCAATACTCTACTGATAATCTCCCCCTTTGTGAAAATTAACTTTCACTCCTCCATTCTCTTCTCATAAGTTTATATGTCAGAAATTCTTAGAAAGATCTTCAATACTAGCCAGTTTCTTTATGATCCTTGGGGAACCTTATGAAAAAGTGCTTTTTACATGCAAGTAAACTATAGTGCATGCCATTTGTTTACTTGCTACTTTCCAGATCAAATATGTTCCAAGATTTACAAATAGAGCAATTAAATATTCTCCCATTCTTCTCAAGGTCCTGGTTTGTCTGCCACAAAAGAAGGCAACCTAAGAAAACAAGTTCTCATCATTCTCTACCTGCTTTTTAAATTCACATTAAGGGCTATGACAAACAAACTAGCAAACGTTATTGTAGATACCAAGATATCACCAGCTGTCTTCTCTAACAGAATGTACTGTGTCCTTTAAACAAATTCAGTCAAAGAAAACACAAATGTGTCAGCTGCTCCAGTTTAGAGTCTAGTATCTTAATTCAAGACACCCTCCCATCAGTCACTTAAGCTAAGAATAGTTTTGAAGTAGACTGGCTGGGGTGTGTGCATTAACCCTGTTCTGCCAACCCGCTAGAGACAGACAACAGTTCCAGGCAGTAACATACTACACTACTACCACAAGAGCCACCAGAGTTTGTCTATGAAAGCCCTAAAACTTTCTCAAATTTATTTGGTGTACTACTAAGTTGTATAAATCCTCAGTACACCAAGACAAAATCAAGCCAGATAGGTTACAAGTGTGGTTTACTGTCTTTATTCCCACTGAAAACAGCTCACCAGAAGTGACAGAGAAATTAATAATCTTCTTATATACGTGACTGCAAATCTCCAATTAAATAATTACATGCCAAAACAAATTGAATATATATATATATATACTTGCCTCTTGTTTAGTTACTTTTGCTGCATCCTTGCCTTCAGCACCCTCTGGAGACTGAAACAAAATATTAAATCAGTGTTTTTATTACAAACTTAAAAGCAGGCAGACAACAGCAAAACAAAGATTATGGTGAAGACTGACTGCTCTTTCATCTGCAACAACTTAAAGCAACATGACAACAGTAGGAAATGGAAATCTGAGGTTTGCTCTATGGTAGCTTTTGAAATCCCCAAGAAATTTAACACATTTTTTCCCAAACGTGAATTTAGCCTGTTATGAGATGCAGTGAGATGAACAAAAAAACCACAGCATTACTGAAATGAATTATTTCTTTACCTCCTTTACTCCTTTTTCCTCTCAGCCTCACTCATATGGAAGTTTTAAAAGTATCCTTACATCATATGTCACCTCCTCCATCAGAAGAGCATAAATCAGTAAAATACTGAGATATTGACAGGAAAGCTTGGGACAAACATGCATCTTCTCAAGAACAAAGTATCAACTTGAACATTGTAAAACTATTCTTGCATAGGTACTAGAAAAAGGTTGGTTAAATTAAGGCAGGGCAGGTAAAAATCAAGTTTCTCTTTTGTTTATAACTCAAGATGTCTAACTTCACATTTTGCAAACATTTGTGTTTCTAGGTAGGAGCAAGCAATACTTGGATAAAGAGCAAGCAGCAGCAGTTAGAGGAGAACTACAAGAATGGCATATTTCAAAAAGGCACTTTACAGGCAGCAGAGAAGGCAATTTGGTGGTTGTTTTGTTTTACAATCAGTAAGGAAGCAGGCTAGTTATCTTTTCCCTTTTCTTTCCATTTCAATTTTAATTCAAACTTCCTCACAGATTTTGACACAAGATGTCTCGGAGTGAGAGAGCTGCGGTTTGGAGCAGAGAAAATGACCGGCTCGTTTGCAGCAGTTGACCAGTGCCTTCTCCTGGCACTGGGCTCTAACATACTTAGAGAAAGACATCCCCCCACCAGGGAATAAAACGTGCCTTTGTTACTGTGCACTCTCCCGACAGAAAGGAAGCATGCCACAAGAGCAGCTGCTTTAAAAAAAAGCCGAGGACTGATCATGTAAGTAGCTTGAAAACAGCAGGAAGTTAAGCAGCATCGCACAGCGTAGAGCAACTCAGAATAGCAACAGGCAGGCATCCAAAATGGAGCCTCTCTGTTCCCTATGCAACTGCAGCCTCACCAGTCACCTGCAGATCGTTTCAGGTTTGCATTTCCAAAAGTCTTTCAGTTTGGTTACCAAGGAGTTATTATAGCTTCATGTTGTGATGCTGGGAGCATCAGAAGTCAGAAAGAAAACAAAAACAAGCTATTCCATTGTTCCTGTCAGTAACCAAGTCCTGTGTTCTACAACTTTCCTCTTCCACTCACAATACAGGATATGCTCTGGGTACAGCTTTTCTGTTGTCCATGAGTTCCTAAGATGTTTCTCCCATACGAATTTTCCAAATTCTAACAAACTCGTGCTGCACCCTTTCCCCAAGAGGGAACTCAAATAGCATCCTTCCTGTCCTGGGCAGAACCTACTTGTATGGAGTTTTCTGAGATTTTATAATATTTTCCCAGCAGTGGTAAAGAGACTTTAGATTTACAGGGGTAGGGACAGAAAGACGGCATGATCCATTTCCTTTGGAAGCCAAGCTAAAAAACTCTTCATCAGCTAAACCAAGTTGACTGGCACTCCACAATCAGCCTGTTTTACTCTACTTCACTTTTAGGAATACTAGAACTTTGAGAGAGGGCTAAATTATCCCAAAATGGCACTGCCACTTGCCAATAGCCTTGCAGGAATTGCACAAGAGCTAACTCTACACCTGCAATACTGCACAGTAATTTACCCCATTCTCTTTAACACTTATGAAAGAGGATTCTCCCGCATTTCTGATAGATAGGGCAATCTGATTTTAGATGCCAATACTACTGCTAGACAACAGATAAAAAAAACTGCTCATGAGGCTAACCACAGGGGGAAAAAAATCATATTAAAATATTCTTAATGCAACCACAACCTCTGTATACTAACTACTGTGATATATTACATAACATATTTCAATTAAGTCAGATAATTAATGAGCCCAGCACTGGGCTCTCCCAGCCCTCCCAGGTTAAAAAATCCAACAGCAACTCTGAAGGCCACATAACTTTTCTCCATGGAGAATAATTGCAATTTCAGAGGTGTGAATAAGCAGCAAGGGGTTCTGACATGCTCTCATTTCCATTTCCAACCCGTTCCCTCCTCTCTGCAATCACTGCAGGTCCAGGTCTTTGGTGGCTGGGCTCATCCTCCCAGCCCTGGCTCCCCACTACGCTGGCAGAGCTGCGTGGGAGGCCATGTCATGAGTAAGGTAATTGATCCAGCTGAAAAATAGCCTGCTGCCTAAACAAATGCATAAATATTATAACATATAGACAAATTATAAATACATAGTCTTCCCTGCTCCAGCAGAATAATTTTACTGCACAGCTGCACAAACAATTGAGTCAATACAACAGACAAGAATGCAGTGGCACGGGGCAGCTGCAGGCAGCCTCGGACTCCATCTATTCTATGTATTGCAGCTGATAGACACATCCAAAAAATATACATGTCAGATATGGCTATAATGTGTTTGTCAAAAGAGGAACAGAAGCTTATTTTCCCCTCTAGGAGTTCTGATGAGTCCCAGCTGATGTGGTTCTTCATACCAGTTTTTGCAATACTTTCTCCTCTCCCCGGGGAAAAGAGAGATTTCTACACAAATGGATTTGAGCCAAGCATAGCTCCCAAAGAACTTAGCATGCCACAAGCAGAGACTGTCTGCACTCCTATCTGGAGTCACAGGACTTTTATGTAGATATCACCAAAATCTTAAAGCCTTGCCCTTAACTGTTCCACAGGAACCCCGCCCCCATTTTTTGTCCTAGTGACAAACTACTGAAGAACCTCTGGTTTCAAAGCAACAAAATGTACTCAGTAACCCCTCCCCTTGGCACATTTTTCCGCGTGACCTAATGCGATGGCTTGCCATACTTCACATGACACCCCAGCCACATTAAAAAGCACCCTGGATAATGTGCTGTACATCCTAAACCAGTCAGGAGCAGGAATACCCACGCTGCAAGTTTTGTGCTGCAAAACCCAAGACCAATACAAGCACTGAACCACTTGACAAGGGCAGCACTCCAGCCTCAGTAATTCTTCAGCTGTACTCCATCATATGTCTATTATATTTATAAAGTAGTCCCTATAGGCCTGCTGTGTGTGATACTGTATGGATGCCTACAAGAGACAAAACATTTAAAAAGCAAATAAGGGCACAGACAACAGTGATTTTTTTTTTCCTCATGGAGAGAAGATGACTGGCTATCTCTAAATATGCTTCTGACATTTGAACTACAAGCAAGTTTTTTTTTTTTTTCCTCATGGAGGTACACACAAGGAAAGAAGATGACTGGCTATCTCTAAATATGCTTCTGACATTTGAACTACAAGCAAGTTTTAGGTTCAGATGACCACACATTGTGTCACAATTCAATTAGCACTAAATACTGGCAATAAGATTGCAACTTAAGCTGCAGCTATGCTTTGCAAGATCTGTCACAGCTGCATAACTTTCAAACCGTAAGACTGCCTATCAGTGATTGGCTTTTTTTTTTTTCCACTTGCTTTTACCCCAGCTATTTTTAAGAGCAATCTAGAAAATTATTTTGAGTGGATTGGAAAAAACAAAGGAATATTAATAGATGGTAGAGAATACTAAAAAACCCCTGAAGGAATATTAACATTGAGCTTATTTGTATACACAGCTCTTTCACCAGCTGTGAAGTATACATAATAAGAACCAGTGTTTCCACACACCAAAGCAATACTGCACTATCTGCAATGCCAACATCATTACAGAACTGTTAGGTTGAAAAGAGAAAACTAGACAACTGTTTTAAGTAAACATTTAATAGAAAATACAGGTCAGTTTCCTGGTTTTACTGTTCTTAAGGCAAGGCTACTTGGTACAGGTGCACCACAAAAGAAACATAAAGCTTCATTTTTTTTTACACCAAAACCCTAAAACATAAGCAGTATATAACGAGAATACAGTAACCCAAAGCAGTGAAGATACTGATGTTTTTTGAATGATCCAAAGATATACATTTGAAATTGCAATGTCCAGCTTCTGGGTGAATATTTTGTTTGCACTACTATGAATGGATTTATTATAAAGAAGTACATTAAAAAGACTGAAAAATGAGAATATAATTAGGTGAGAAGTAGCAGTCAGTAGAAGGTCGGTATAAAATTAAATAGATGGTTCATTCTCTGAAGGATTTTATTACAAGCAGAAACTCAACACCTTGGCTCTGACGGGAGAGAAATTAGTCCCTTCATACCCCCATGAAAACAAAACAAACAAAAACAAAGCAGATGCAAATTTCATTCTATCTACCACATTAAGAAGTTAGAAATTAGAAAGGCAGAAAGCCTTAACTGTCCTAGCACATGAGCATTCTGAATAGCATTTCCTCCCTTCTTTGCAAGCTGTTTGGTTCAGCCACATCTTGATACACTGCCTGCAAGGGGATTTGCCCATAGATTTCCTGGCTCACTCCTGCAGCTGCAATTTCCATGATGTAATGCTTTTGGTCGTTCCTCCTACAATCTTTTTCACCAACCAAAATAAGGTAAAAGCTTGGGAAAAAAAAAAAAAAAACCAGCACGTTGCAAGAGGAACAGATGTATCAAGTCTGAAGTCTTTTTCAGGGTTTGTTGCACTCTTTCCCTAAAATTTTTCTACCCCTCATTTGCTTTTAACTATGCATTAGACTAAATTTAATGCCATGAATGGTTTCCCCATACATGCTATATCTTCTAATTATTTATCCTCAGAGCAGCTCTGAATTTTGAGCCAGTTCATAAATGTAATTAAAATGCTATTTATTTCTTGGTTTAGATTAATGAAGACTACATGTTGACTAATTTAACACCAACCAACTCCTGCAATACCCTTTTAACTATTGTTTCCTCATTTAGCTCCTCCAGCATCTTATCATTAACCTTTGT